TTTTAAAATAAATTATTTATTTTGATTTTTTTTTCTTCTATTTTGTAGATTTCGGCTATCAGTTTTTGGGCGTTTGATATTGGTGAGTTTTGAAGCGAAACCTTTGAAATTTTTTTAAAAAAAAATTTTTTAATTTACTTATTTTTTTTTTATTTTGTAGGTTTCGACTTTCGGTTCTTGGACGTTTGTTATTGGTGAGTTTCGAAGTGAAAAAGCCAAAACTTTTTTTAAAATAAATTAATTTATTTTAATTTTTTTTTCTTCTATTTTGTAGATTTCAGCTTTTGGTTCTTGGATGTTTGATATATAGGTGAGTTTTGGAGCGAAAGAGCCAAAATTTTTATTAAAATAAATTAATTTTTAATTTTTTTTTTCTTCTATTTTGTAGGTTTTGACTTTTGGTTCTTGGACGTTTGTTATTGGTGAGTTTCGAAGCGAAAAAGCCAAAACTTTTTTTAAAATAAATTAATTTTTAATTTTTTTTTTCTTCTATTTTGTAGGTTTCGACTTTTGGTTCTTGGATGTTTGTTATTGGTGAGTTTCAAAGCGAAAAAGCCAAAACTTTTTTTAAAATAAATTAATTTATTTTAATTTTTTTTTTCTTCTATTTTGTAGATTTCAGCTTTCGGTTCTTGGATGTTTGATATATAGGTGAGTTTTGAAGCGAAAGAGCCAAAATTTTTATTAAAATAAATTAATTTTAATTTTTTTTTTCTTCTATTTTGTAGGTTTAAGCTTTCGGTTCTTGGAAGTTTGATATATAAGTAAGTTTCAAAGCGAACGAGCTGAAACTTTTTTTAAAATAAATTATTTTAATTTTTTTTTCTTCTATTTTGTAGATTTCGGCTTTCAGTGAGTTTCAAAGCAAAAACTTTGAAAGTTTTTTTAAAAAAGTTTTTTAATTTACTTACTTTTTTTTATTTTGTAGATTTCAGCTTTTGGTTTAGATATATAGGTGAGTATCGGAATGAAAGAGCTGAAACTTTTTTTAAAATAAATTATTTATTTAATTTTTTTTTTCTTCTATTTTTGTAGATTTCAGCTTTCAGTTCTTATGCGTTTGATTTAAAGGTAAATTTCAAAGTTTTGTTTTCTTTTCAAAACTTTAAAAATTTTTTTTAATTTTATTTATTTGTTTTTTTATTTTGTAGTTATCGGTTGTAATATCCTTGGGCTTTGGATAGGTGAGTATTGAAGTTTTGCTTTCTTTTTGAAACTTTAAAAAAGATTTTTAATTTTATTTTATTTTATTCTATTTTATAGGTAATGGCTGCGACATCTCATTGGGCTTTGGATCGGTAAGTTTCATTTTCTTTTCAAAACTTTTTTAATAAAAATTATTTTTTAAAATTTTCTTTTATTCTGTAGGTTTCGACTGCAATATCTCCTTAAACTTTGGGTCAGTGAGTTTCAAAGTTTCGTTTTTTTCAAACTTTCAGAAAAATTTATAATTTTATTTATTTTTTTTATTTTGTAGGTATCGGATGTGATATCTTTGGGCATTGAAATGGTAAGTTTTGAAGCAAATACTTCAAAACTTCTTAATAAAAATTGTTTTTTAATTTGACTCTTTCTTTATTTTGTAAGTTTCAGCTGAGATATCTTTGGATCTGTGAGATTCAAAGAATGCTCCAGAATTTTCTTTTTAAGGAAATTGACTCCGATTTGGATACCATAAGTAAGTTTTGATTCAAAACTTTAAAAAAAACTTTATTTTTATTATTTTTAATGTTACTTTTTCTTTTTGTAGGGAAATCGGCACCTGAATCCCAATAGTAGATCTTTTATAAATAATGCACGATTTTTATAGGACTTTAGCTTCTATGGAATTTCTTATCTTTATTTGTTGTCTGTTGGAATCGAACCAACTGGAACCAATATCCAAACCATTAACAACATGTAAATTTTTAGTAAAGGTGGAATTTTAATTATTAGCATACAGTAAATTATTATTTTTTTTTTGTAAATACTTTTAATAAATGCTTTTAATAAATATGATAATGTTAGTTGTCACTTATCATTAAATAATTTAAAAAAAAAAAAAAAAAATTAAATTTTTTCTGTTAGAGCATTTTATAAACGCCAGTAAAATGCAACTTGATTTGATATCGACATTTCAATACACAAAATTAAACAATGGGGGACGAAGTCCCCCGCAAAACGCAATTTCTATACACATCTAGATGTGTATAAGAGACAGTATTAGTAGTGACTTATCATTAAATAATTAAAAAAAAAAAAAAAAAAATTAAATTTTTTCTGTTAGAGCATTTTATAAACGCCAGTAAAATGCAAATTGATTTGATATAGACATTTCAATACACAAAATTAAACAATGGGGGACGAAGTCCCCCGCAAAACGCAATTTCTAGTTTAATATATAATATCTACGTATAATTTTAACTAACTCAATTCTTCATTTAAAAATTATTTCATAATATAGGATGTAAGTAATTTATTTAATTCTGTTATTTCATTTTTATATAAATTTACATATAATTTAAACTAACTAAATCTTATTTAAAAAATTGTTAATGATATAGGGGGTAAGTTAGTTATTTAATTCCATTATTATATATAAATAAATTTAAACTAACTAAATTCTTTATTTAAAAATTATTTAATAATATAGAGCGTAAGTTATTTATTTGATTCTATTATTACAGATTTATATGATATTTAAATATAACTTAAACTCACAAATTCTTTATTGGAAAAATTATTTAATAATATAGGGGGTAGTTATTTATTATTTATTTAATTCTATTATTACATATTTATATAATACATATTTACATATAACTTAAACTAACTAAAATTCTTTATTCTAAAAAAAACTTTTAATAATAGTATATAGACTATAGAGTGTAAGTTATTTATTTAATTCTATTATATATTTATATAATATTTGCATAACAATTTAAGCTATCTAAATTTGTTATTTAAAAAATTATTTTTGCAATTTCTTTCAGTTGGTAAGTTATAAGTTATTTATTCAATTCTATTATTACATATTTGTATAATATTTACATATAACTTAACTAATTCAATTCTGTATATTAAATAACATAGAACATAAGTTATTTAATTCAGTCTTTATTTATATATTTATATAATATTTATATATAATTTAACCAAACTAAATTAATTAATTATTTAATAATAGGAGGTAAAGCTATCTATTTAAATTTACTATTATATAAATTATGTAGTAATTTAAACTAATTAAATTCTTTATTCAAAAAATTATTTAATAATATAGAGAGTAAGTTATTTATTTAGTTATATATTTACATGATATTTACAATAATTTACATATAATTTGAACTAAATAAATTCTTTATTTAACAGTTAGTAAGTTATAAGTTATTTATTCAGAATCTATTATTATTATTACATATTTAAATAGCTAAATTCTTTATTTGAATAATTATTTAATCATTTATTTAATTCTATTATTACATATTTACATAACATCTACATTAATTTAAACTAACTTCTTTATTTAAAAATTATTTAATAATATACTAGAGAGTAAGTTATTATTTAATTCTGTCATTACATATCTATATGCATAATTTAAATAACTAAATTCTTTATTTAAAAAATTATTTTGTATTCACTTTTAGTTGGTAAGTTATAAAGTTATCTATTTTAATTCAATATTTACATATAATTTAATTTAAACTAACTAAATTCTTTATTTAAAATATTATTTAATAATATAGGGCGTAAGTTATTTAATTAATTCTATTATATAATATTTACATATAATTTAAAACTAATTAAAACCTTTATTAAATAATTATTTAATAATATAGGACGTAAGTTATTTAATTCTATTATTACATATTTATATAATATTTACATATAATTTAACTAACTAAATTCTTTATGTATAAAATTATTAATGATATAGGTCGTAAGTTATTTATTTATTGCACATTATAATATTTGTATATGATTTGAACTAACTAAATTCTTTATTTAAAAAATTATTTTGTAATTTCTTTTAGTTGGTAAGTTATAAGTTATTTATTTAATTCTATTATTATCACATATTTATATAATATTTACATATAATTTAAATTAATTAAATTCTTTATTTAAAAAATTTATTTGTTGTTTTATCATCATATATTTTATATAATATTTATTTGCTAACTGAATTTTTTCATTTGAAAAATATCTATTACATTTTCCCTATAAAAAATTTTTATCCGAATATTTCCATTATTTCTCTGTGTCTTCCGTAAAAATTCCGTGAAAATGATACATTCACGGATATCCGTGTTAGCGAGATGAAAATTTCCATGATTTAAGGCTATAAATTCCATGAAAATGATACATTCACGGAAAAAACATGGAAAGATAAAACACGGATCAGATTTTTTACAGGGTTTAGTTGTAAGTTTGTGAATAATATATAGGTTATTACATGTATTTATACAAAAAACTAAGACTTGCATTAATATTAAATTCCTATTTAAATTTTAGAATTTTAATTTTAAACTTTATTGTAATTTATAATAAAAACTTTATTAATAATTTTAATCATTTAAATTAACAGAAGAAGGAGTGGAAATGCAATTCTGGATGAATTTATCTTTAAAAAGGATTTAAAATGGATTTCTTATAATCAATTTATTAATGTTGAATATCTTAATCAAGGAGGATTTGGTATTATATACAAAGCTATTTGGTTAAATGATTATAAGGATGAAGAAGTAATTCTTAAATGTCATGATAAGTTAAATGAAAATTTAAATGAATTTTTACATGAAGTATGATATTAACATATTAGTATATTATTTTTTTTTTAATAATTATTTATACTGATTGATTATTATTTTTTTTTTTATAGTGGAAATACCATGAAAGATGTTTAGATTCAAATAATATCATTAATTTTTATAAATTTACAAAAAATCCAGATAATTTAAAATATATGGTAGTAATGGATTATGCAAACAAAGGTAATTTAAGAGAAAATTTAGCAAGAATAATCAAAAATAATTGGAAACAAAAATTATATATGTTGTATGAGATTATTTCTGGACTTAATGAGATACATCAGCAAGATCTTATTCATTGTGATTTTCATGATGGTAATATTTTAAGTCATAATGATAGGAATGAGGATAAAATTTATATTAGTGATTTGGGATTATGTCAACCTGCAAAATCATTTTTAAAAGAGTACGTTATTTTTGGTGTTATACCATTTATGGCACCTGAAATTTTAAGAGGCAAAGCTTATACTCCTGCTAGTGATATATATAGTTTTTCTATGATTATGTGAGAACTTACAGGATACCACCATTTAATAACAGGGCACATGATATTCAACTTAGTTTAAGTATTTGTAAGGGTGAACGTCCTGAAATTATTGAAAATACTCCACAATGTTATGTAGATTTGATGAAAAAATGTTGGAATGAAGATCCATTAAAAAGGCCATCATCTGAAAAAGTCTTAGATATTATTAAGAAATGGATTTATCTTCCTTATGAAATGAAATTTGAAGATATTGATGAGAACTTAAAATGCAGTGTTATGGAATTTATAAATACACCAATTAAGCATAACACTCTTGTTACTGAATCTCATTCGCAAGCATGTTATACAAGTCGCTTACTTGATTTTAGTAGTAAAAACTTAAATGAAATTCTTGAAAATGAAGATTTACAAGCTAGTATGAAAGTGAATGAAATGCTAGTAAGCGAAGATTTAAATAATTGTATAATTAAGATTTGAAATCATTAGGTATGTAATATAGTATATAAAAAACTAATCTTGTAAGTTAGTGTTTATGTGAATTAATTTTATTTAATTTAGATATTAAAACAAGATGAAAATTAACTAATTATTTGTAAAAGATTTATAATTTTTGATAGCCAACAAAAAATTGTTCTTTATTTATAGTAAAATATTTAAAAAGATTCTTAGTTTGTAATTTAAATAATTCCTTTTTTTTTATATGTTTTATCTAAATATTAAATGTGATTTTTTTTTTTTTAGAATTATTTAAACACTAAGGCTAGAGTAGTAAATATTTTACAAATTTCTTAGTTTGTAATTTATATAAATCTTTTTTTTTTTTTTTATAATTTTTCCAATTATTAAATATAAATTATCAAGAATAGTATAAGTATATAAAACCATTTCCAATGTATATATCAGCTGATCAATTATCCAATCATTAATTGTCAAATAAAAAAATTCTACACTAACCGTATAAATCTATTAGAGCGCAATAAAAAAACTGTTAATAAATATAATATAGTACAATAAAAAAAAACCAATATTGGATATTTCTCACCCACACTTTCCTTAAACAGTTTTTTTTAAACTAATACATATTTGAAAAATTTTGGATTAATTGGATTTTTGTATCTTTAAGTAAATTTCAATTAATCTTATAAACCAAAATTGTTATCTAACTTTTTAATTTAGAAGTAGGACATTAATATAATAATGTATATCTTTTTATCAAATAACTTTATTCATTAACTAATTTTATTCATATGACATACAAAAGAATTTTAGGAATTCATTGTGAAATGTACTTAAATAGCATTGATTTATTTAATTTCATAAGGAAGGTAACAATTTTTTTGGAATCTGATATGGACTAATGCACTTTAATAATATAGAAATAATAGAAATAATTGAGCTATTCTTTAACTACTAAAAAATTATTTCCTCTGATTACTAAGTTCCAACAAGTCGCAGCATTTGCTAATATTGAAATACCTTAAAAAAAGTCAAAATGACGTTATTTAGGCCATCTATCAGAACTTTCTGTAAAAAAAAAAATTATTCATATTTTCAAACAATTGTATTATGCAAATAAGATTACAAAGATATTATAGGATACTTGTGGATACTGATGCTATCATAATGATGCCACAGTTTACGAAAAGTCTATTTTATTGATCATGATCATATGATTTTTCCATTAGAATAATGATCATAGTTTTGCAAAAATTACATAATTTTCATAGTGTGAAACAGTAATTTAAATATTTCCAATAATATAAATATTTAAAATTTACTTAATCAAACTTGAATTTATATTATAGGGGTTACCAACTATAATGCTTGCCGTACCTATTGTAAGAAGGACGGCAAATTCATTGGAGAATGGTCACCTACCACTACGCCTAAGCCCGATCGTGAACCATGCAGTGCGCGCCATCCCTTCATACTTACCATACATAGTGTCTTTTCTTCATGAACGTTCCCTACAAATTAAAAAAGAGATTAGTTACAAAAATAACTAAGTAATATTCCGTTCAGGCTGTAACCTTGGATGCAATTGGGAAGAAACTAGCCCGATCGTGAACCCTGCAGTGCGCACCATCCCTTCATATTTACCATACATAGTGTCTTTTCTTCTTATTTTTCCTTGAGCGTTCTCTATAAATTTTAAAGAATTAAAAGAGATTAGTTACAAAAATAACTAAGTAAGACTCCGTTCAGGCTGTAACCTTGGATGCAATTGGGAAGAAACTAGCCCGATCGTGAACCCTGCAGTGCGCACCATCCCTTTGTACTTACCATACATAGTGGCTTCTCTAATCTTTCTTCTATGTTCGATAGCCCTTGCCCGCATTTGAATATCTTATTTGCTTGACTTAAAAATGATTTCTTATTATGATATTCAAGGTCGTTCCTCCACCTATTTTTCTGATGAAACTATCGTCAGAGCGATAGACGATCCTAAACTTCCACAGAGGTGCTCATTACACTCTTTTGTGAGTCACCATCTACACTTTTTAAACATTTCAACAACATTTCCGCAGCCGCTAACTGGGTTCGCCCTCCTACCTCTCAACCATCCTTCACCTCCGAATTCCCTTCATCCTCATTTAACATCCTTCCTAAGTTACCTCCTATGATACATGTTCCTCTCGACTGTCATGCCTAATACCTATGCATATCGTCAATACTATAACTTGGAACCGCGTACAGCAAAAAATCCAAAAATATGTAAAATAAAATATTGCTTGCTCTTGGCCAGTTGTTAACTTACAACCGTTTCTCCTGAACACCACGTAGAGGTGGCAAGCTTCGTTCAGGGAAAAAAGAAACCACTTACCCGTAATTTTATACAACCAGTTTATAATTAATAGGATTAAAAAAAATAATAATAATATTTGGGTTGTTAAGAATAAAAATTGAGCAGAGACGTTCGGACATATAGATATATAATATATAACATTCCCAACTTGACAAATTCTATATGTAAACTGTGTTTTTTTAGTTATGTTCTGGCCCCAGATTCAACTACTTATGCACACATGCATTAAAAACAATAAAGAAAATTATAAAAGAAAATTATTTACGTAAAAATCAAAACAAATAAAACAAATAATGCACATGTGCATCAGAACAAGAAAGAAATTATTTTTGTAAAATCAAAAATAAGCTTTCTCATCCCCCCATCTAATTATTTGGTTTACATATATACACAATACGTACTATGTACATACATACATAAAATACGTACGTATATATACGTAATGTGGGAAAGTCGATCGAGCAATAAACACAGGTTTCTCTACTCAACTTTATTAACAATTTGTTTAAGTATGGCTTTAACTTTTTAAAGTGTTTAACGTGGAGTTATTCGTACCTACGGTTTAAAATGAGTCGTGGAGTTGGTTGTACCTTACCTATTACCATACTTAACAAGAAAATAAAAATAAAAGAAAAAGAAAAGCGAGAAGGAATAAAAAGGAGAAAGGAGTTAAAGCGAATAAAAAGATAAAAGTGGCTATTTTATATATTTTAATCATGTATTACTTAACCATGATGAGTCATGTTATAAACATGTGAACTATGTAGTATAATTAATCGTAAACATGTGTTTGCAATAATTTCTCACGTAACCTTGTATATTGATGACGTCAAATTTAATATACTATTTCAGTATTTATTGTGGGCGTGTATCATTACATCATTAACACGATTTCCGCGTAACTTAAATTATTTCAAAAATAACATTTATTTTACTAGAGCGAGGTTGAATCGGACTTTCGGTGGTTGTAACGATTTGACCGCTGTTGGTAAATAAAGCCAATTTAAACACAAAATTATAAGAATTATAAGAATAATAAGTATAATATTTCGGGATATAATTTTGAGTACCCGTTTAATAATATTAAAACTTTTCTTAAAAATCTTTTGAACCCTAATTAATATCAAGGTAGATAATCTATTATCAATAATAACTTGAAATACTTCATATTCCTCTATTTTAAAAGTTTCTCTATTAATGATTTTCTTTTCATATGGGTGTTGCTTGCTTTTACCAACAATATTGTTAATAAAAGATCCTGATGATTTGATATACAAATCTTGTAAACCAAAATATGGTCTCTCCAAATGATTGCTTCCTTTTCAAAATTGACTCAACTTAATATAGGATTAAATCGACTTGTTAATGAAAATAAAAAACTATTTAACGTTTTACATTGATAATTTTTATGATTACGGGATCTTTCATCTGTTGGTACGACACCATTCTAATGGATTATATCCACCAATTATCTCTCTTGGGTGGCGAATTTTAAATTATAAGAATAGTTAGTCCAATGTTTATGAAATTTACCAATCCTAAAACAATCACGACTAGCACGATAAATAAGATTAAATTTCAATGGTAAATCTTTAAAATAATAAGGTGTTCCTTTTTTCTTATCGATCCAACTTGCTATTAATGCAACATCTGTAGCATTAATAATCTTGGAGTCAAATATAAATCTTGGAGGCAGAATTTGAAAAATATTGAGTAACTTCATCATCGAGATCATCAGGTAAAATATTTTTAAAATAAGTTCTAATCTTCGTGTATTCATCAGGTGACATTTGAAAAAATCGAATATGAGGGATACAACTTTGTAAAGTTTTTTTTAGATCTATGAAATTCAATGGTTTCCATGTTTTTATATCATTATTTAATATGGAATTGGTATTTTTGATTCCCTATTTAATTAAATATTCCCAAATTTTAATTTCTTCTAATTTAAGATAATCACATCTTAAAAATTGAATAAGTTTTTTCCATTTTTAAGAAATCATCTGATTCAAAAATAACTTCGGGACTATTACACAACAAATCTTTTGCAACTTTATGTAAATTAACGAAATTATCACATTGCAAAATTTTAACAATATCTTTTGTTTTCCATTCTAATATATTCCAAAACAAAACTTCTCAAATTGTTGATAAAGCTCAAGTAAATCAAGTTCATCAGCGGCAATTATAACATCAATAATAAGATTATAAGACTAATCTAATTATTTTCAACGGCCTGAATAAATATACCTATTCATAATAATTTGATTTTGAGGTAATTTTTTTTTCTTTTTTATTAATCATAATGGAAGTAAAATAATTACTTTATTAGAACTTGAAATATCAAAGGTGAAATGTTAGGCTTTTTAAAAATAATTATTCCATTTTCTTTTTTTGTCCATCGTAAAGATAAAGCATTTTTAAAATAATTGAATCTAGAAGCTGAGATTGCTGAATATAGGTTCAATTATTTAATATTCTGCTCTTCATCAATTATAATTTTTACATTATAATCAATAGGATCTTGGAGTAAATTTAAAAAAATCTACGGATAAGGTACGATTCATATTTTACAAATTTTGTAAAATAAAGGAGAAAAAAAAGGGAAATCTAGGTTTATGTAATAAAAAACCAATCATTATACATTTTAACTATTGAAATCACAAAAAAAAATCACAAAAAAAACACATGGAAGAAAATGAAGTTACCATAAATAATAAAATGGGAATTTAAAATGCGGGTTGTGTATTTGTTTAGAACAATATATTATTATAACAATTGATAATAAAATTTGTATACTGTATTTTAATAATAGAGACGAAAAACAATTCATATAAGATCATAGAAGTGAGTAACTGAAGGATTATTGGTGTATAATTCTTATATGTTTAATTCGACTCAATACATATGTTTTTGATTTATTTTAATATTATCATATATATATTTAATTTTTATATTTAAATCATATTTTACAAATACAGTGACACCTCTATAAGTGCACCCTCTATAAGTGCACGCACTATATAAATTCTCTTTAAGTGCACGGTGGGCCTGGTCCCAACTTATAAGAGCTCTTAATATTTTACTCTCTATAAATGCACACCCTCTCTAAGTGCACATTCTACTATTTTTTTACTATGGTCCCAAGGAGGGTGCACTTAGAGAGGTGTCACTGTATATATTATTAATTATTTAATAAAATTAATAAATAATCCTTGTTCTCTATTTATTGCATTATATAAAAATCACGTATTTGATCTGCAATCACATGACATATATCCAATCATTTGTGTGTTGTTAACGTCACAGATGAATTTCATGAATTTCAATAAAATGAAACAATTATTTGGTATTTTCAAAATCAGAGACTTTAAACGATAATTCCACGTGAGGAGGGGAAACTTGAATAAAATTATTTCAAGTAAATCTCTTGGAATTTAACGATCATAACTTATAGGAGAGGATTTTTTTAGTTTAAAAACATAAATACTGTATTACTGTAACATCTTTTTTTTTTGGACTTTTTTATAAGGATTGGTTTTTGACTCTTGTGTAAGTGAATATTATCCAGGGTGTGGATTCTTTTTTTTTCATATTAAGAATGTAACTAACATTCTTCAAATCGATGTCATTTTATTTGTATAAATAAATACAAGATCTATTTTGGAAGTTTCTTGATGGTCCCTTTTTATATATAGAAGTATTGTTTTAAAGAGAAATTGAAAGTACTTTTATATAAAAAAATATATTTATATTATCTCATTATTAATTAACGCCATACGTTAATTTTATAAACATCTCATTAATAAAAAATGAAGATAAAAAATTGAATCTATATAGATTTAATAGATTTTAACAATTTTTAATAATAACATAATAAATATAATTTGTTTCATCATATATCTTTTTTAATGATACATTTTTTAAATACTCAAATAAATTTTTTTTAAAAAATTAGCATTAATAGCATAATAAAATTTTATTTGATACTTTTTTTTTTTTGAACAACAATTTCATTTATAATGAAAGATAATTTTTTAAAAAATAATTTCATTTTTTTAAATTTTTTTGGGCCATACCACACATTTATATTTATTTATAAAAAATACAAATACAATATATTCAAAAAAAATGTACTAAACAGTTGATCCAACTCCCCTACGTACCCTTTCCATCTATTATCATCCACTGATCCACAACAGTTTTTGACCCAGCATAATTTCAATTAAACAGCAGTACCGCTTGATAAATCTGGAGCCAGATGTAAATATGATTTTACCAATAGTACTAAAATGAGTTAATTAATTTTGAAAAATTAAAACTAAATTTGGATGGCAAAATTCTGGTGGTGCGCTGCAGTAAATTGTGTTTTTTTTATTTTATAACAAGAGGTTATTGTAAAAAATTGAAAACAAATTTTTTAATATAGAACGTGTGCACAATATCATGTTATACTTTCATGAGGTCATTTAATAATTTGAATAAATTTATTAAATTATTTAAATTACAAACTAAGAATTTTGTAAAACATTTACTACTCTAGTCTTAGTGTTTAAATAATCCATGATAAATTAATAAGTGATAATAATTTAAAATATAAAAAAAAAATATTGTTAATTTAATCTATCAAAAGACAATTTAAAATCCATCTAAAGTTAAAAAATAACAAATTATAAATTAATTATTTGCTTTAAAAAGAAATTCAATTTATTTAAGAACTTACCATCAGGAATTTCCAGTTCATCTTGTTCTTCTGAATGAAGATTTGGATTATTATATACTTCGTCATCATCTGTAAGAAATAAATAATTAAATTAAAAAATAACATAAAATTAAATAAAAAATTCGCATACCATCAACATCACCAATATTTTGTCTTTTCGTTCTTTGTTGAATTATTTCTTTTTCATCATCTAAAATTTTTAAATTAAAGCTACATTAAATAAAATATATTGACAAAATAATTTTTACTTTTTTTTTGCTTACCATCAATATCAATATCTTTCCTTTTCATTTGTTGTTGAATTATTTCTTTTTCGTCATATTATTTTTAAAATAAAAGTCACGTTATTTAATAAATGAAACTGATACAATGAATATTATTATTTCACTTATTTACTTACTATTTGAATTTTGCAAATTTATAAATTCTTTGGGTAATTTTTCACTATCACCTAAAATTAAGAACATAGAAATAGATTTAATATTTAATTAATTATTTCAAATAAATAACCTTTAAAAAATATTTATTAATTATACTCGATAATTTCTTACTATACTGCTCATTTGATTTATTAAAGTCGTTAACTAAAATAAAAATTAATTATTAGACATCATTACATGATAATTCAACGCTATAATGTTATTAAAAACTTACTATTGTTAAAAACGTTAAAATCATACAATTTACTATGCAACACTATTAACAGTAAAATAAAGTATTTAAAACTAAATAATTATAGTAACCAAAAATGGTAGAAATTATTGTTATACCTTCTTGTTCTTCTATTATAATAAAAAGATAACATTAATAATGTATTTTAAAATAAATACATCCATTAATAAAATATTATACACTTATACCTTCTGTTGCATTTCTTGGTTCAGGTAGATTTTCAAAGTTGTGAATTTTACTTGTAAATAATCTGCTACTCGTATAATTTTCTTCTACTTTATTCACTTCTAAATTCTCTATTTCTGATTTGAATAATTCATCTGACATACTTTGATAATCTAAATTAATTCTTTCCATTCTATCCCAAAGTGCATAAGCGTCAGGTCTTTTTAATGGATCAGCATCCCAACATTCTTTCATTAAATTTTTATATTCTAACGGAGTTCCTGGCACAATTTTTGGTCTTATACCATCAATAATATTATATACAAGAATATGTTCATCTTCATAATCCATAAATGGTGGTTGTCCAAATGAAATTTCCCACATAAGCATTGCAATACTATAAATATCAGATGCAAAAGTATATCCTCTTCCAACAATAACTTCGGGTGCTATGTAAGGAAGATTTCCATATATACTTGTTGAAGATTTATCAGCAGGTCCACAAAATCCAAGATCACTAATATACCAGT